TCAGAAAATGGACGAATAATGGAAGATCAAAAGAGAGCGCATACGAGCCGGAGAAGTAAAACCGGAGAAGAGCCAGAAACAGCTAGGGAGAGAGAACAAAGACGGCAATGGAGAAATATATGCATGAATGCTCAGTATGATATGAAAGCGAGACTAAAAAAGAGGCATACTCACAAAACATATCAGAGAGCGACGATAAAAATGAAGAGGAAGAGTAAACAGCAGAGTAACAAATGCGTAAGGAATAATAGAGGATGATATTAGCTAGGTAGAATGGGAACGATATCGAGAGAGAGAAGCACGGAAAAGGCAAGAGAGCAAAAACAGCAAAGAGTAATAAATATCAGAAATTCGATATGCAAATAACGCGACAAGGAAAAACAGAGAGCAGGAAAAGGAAAGAAAATTGAGTAAAAAACCAGCAAAGAAAAAATACGCTTAGAAGATAATGATGATGTAATAAAGGGAGAAGGAGGGAAATGCGAAGAGAGCAGAATATAAGAATGGAGACGAGAAAAACATAGCACAAATGCAGATAGTATTGCAACAAAGCGGAAGAAAAAGGAAGAATACATGAGAGGCACAAAGGCAGGAGAGAATAAGAAAAACATAAGAAAAATAGAGAAGCCGACGTTGAGAAAAAGAGGAGAAAAACGGGAAAGTACACGTAGGATGAGGCAGAATGAAGCGTGAAAACCTCAAGAAACAGGATAAGAGGGAAGAGAAGAGCAGTCCTAATTCAAGTTCTTACGAGCTTGACAACTGGGCGAACGAGGCAATCGCTTCGATGGCGTGTCTTAGCTCTCGAGAGGCTCAATCGGGACTGCAACGAGCTCGAACGAGGAACTCATCTTTCAGAAAAATGGCTTCGATTCTTCCGCAGTCTTCTCTCTCGATCGCCTCTTCTCATGTCCTTAGTCTTTTAATCATTTGTCGTTTCGTTTTGCATTTATAGTTGCCTTGCATGATCGTCTCGTTTATATCTATTATCGTGTGTAGAATCTTTATCTCACTCTTGCCTTGGTCCTCTTATCTCTTATTCTTTAATAATCTTTCTGTTTAGAGATATTTATTTCTCATATCTTGTCTTTTTCTGATGTACTCTGCAGTGTTCTTTCTTAGTGCATATCGTATGAGTCCTAGTCGTCTAGTGACTGTGTCTATCTGCTCTCTCGCGCGATCGTCCATGTTTTTTCTGTCATGCTCAAGCTACACACTTTTCTTTATCTATTCTCTCTTCTCTTTCTCTTTCTCTTCCTCTTTCTCGCGATCTGCTCGTTGTCGGTTGTCTGCTTCTTTAGCTATTCCAAGCACTAGATTCTCAACGGGATCGTACGGGAACCACTGTTCGGAAAGGGGTTGCGTTGTCCGTCTCGTCTCCTTCACTCTATTCTCTGTATACTCCTTCTCTCTCCACTACTCATCTTCTTTCACTTTCTCGTGCTCAACACATCTTTCTTTTTACACTATCTCTCTCTTTTCTTTTTCTCTCTCTTTCCTCTCTCTCTCTCTCTCTCTTCTCTCTCCATGTCTCGCTTCCGGACTCGCATCGCTGCCGATCACGTACTTCTCGATCTGCGTTCTCGTATTCTTCTCTCTCTCCTCTCTCTTTCTCTCTCTCAACCCCCCCTCTCTCTCTCTCAACCCCAGCCCTCTTCTTCTCTCAACCCACCTCTCTCTCCACCCCCCTCTCTCTCTCCACACCCCCCTCTCTCCTTCAGCGGCACTACCCGACACCTCTCTCGCTCTCACACCCCCTGCTACGCCTCTCTCTCCCTCCCCTCTCTCTCGTATCTCCCTTCTCTCACTCACCTGCTACATAGCGCTCCTGTATTAGCGACATCGTCTGCTCTACCACCACCTTCTTCTCTTCGTTCTCTTTCTGTTTCTCGGAGTATCTCTCTTCTGACGGTGTATTCACATCATGTGTTCTCCCGCTGGCGTCTGCTTTGCTGCTTTCTCTGTCTCTCTTTGTTCTAGTGCTTATTCACTCTCACGCTCTCTTTCGGTCTTTCTTCTTTCTCTCTATAGTGCTGCTTTCAGTTATACTTCGTTGCTCGTATTCTGCTATCCACATTATCTTCGTCTCTATGCTGATCGTTTCAGTCTCTCTTAACTCCTATGCACTCTCTTTTTTCAGCTATATCTCGCCGATTCCGTCCTGTTTCTGCTTAGACTCTCTCACAGAGCAGGCTGGGACCCACGAACACTGCGAGCGTGAGATGCTCCTACTCTGTCACTTCATTTACTCGTCTGTCATCATCCGGAATTACTCGTCTTGTATCTCGTCTCTCCTCTTCACGCTTTATTCTTCTTCACCTCACTTCTCACAGTCTTTATCTCTTCCGTCACGTCCCCTGCAGCTGTCTCGTACGCTTCTGCTCAGGTCGGTCGAGTCGTCTGGTCGTGCTCTTCGTATCGTCGTCCGCTCCGCCGCTTCTCATGCTAATCTGATCTACATCCTCGAGAGTGCTCTCGCTGCTGCGCTCCGCTTCGTCAGTCGTCGTCTTGTTTACTATGCATCCAGCAATCCTCACAGTAGTTGCCTCTCCCTCTCTCTCTCCTCCCCCTCTTCTCTCTCTCCCAGCATCATCATCAGCAGTGGTCAGGCTCTCTCTCGTTCAGCATATCTGTCCTTCGACAGAGAGAGACCATTCTCCCTTCTCTCTCTACCTCCCTCCCTCCCTCCCTCTCTCCTCCTCCCATCCATCCCGTGCGTCACTCTCCCGTCCTCCATCGCTGATCAAGTGAAACCGTTAGCGTGTGTCCTAAGAGTCTCTGTGAGGGCTTAGCACTTCATTGGCGGGTGCCTATACGCTAGTAGCAGTGTAGAGTAGGTAGTTCACGAGCTCCATAACGACAGCTGGAGCGTCTCGTACGCTCCGCATGCTCCCGACTCGGATCCTCTGCGATGTCTGCTCTATAGCACTCGATCTTCCTATGCAGCGGCCTAATTACACACCGCTCTCTCTCGTTAGCCTACAAGCATTATCCCTCTCGAAGTTGCACACGCACTCTTTCGCTAGTACTCCCCGATCACTCCTGAATCGATCTTCTCAGTCTCTCTAACCCATGCTCGCTGAATACAACCCGAGCGACTACACCCCTTCCGACATGCTCAGATGACGATGCATGCCTCATACGGTCCTCCGCGCGTCCCATCAGATCATCGCTCGTCTCTCCTCAGCCTCGTCGTCTCCTAATACCTCTCACTGCCGCCCATACACCACCTACACTCCTACTCCGAGTCGTCCAGTCTGATACGCATTTTTCTCCCCCCTCCCCCCCCTCTTCCCTCCCTCTCTTCGCAAACAGGAGAGAGAGAGAGAGAGAGAAAAGACATATTCAGAGCCAGATGAATTCGAGTGCGTTCTCCAACCTGACAATACCACCCCGTCCTCGCCTTCCCCTCGAACCGTTTAATATGCAAAGGAACGCACACAGACACCAAAAGAAAGAGGGGAAATAAACCCGCAAGCCTCTCGCAAAACATAATTACAAGTGAAAAACGTTTCCTGTCCTTTAGAGTTGGGGTTTAATATTTCAGAGTCGTGCAGCTGCTGGGTTCTGCCCCGACCAGCGCCGCCGGACCGAGCCAGCTGTTGCCATGAGGAGACCAGCGAGACCGGCCGCATGTCAGGAGCGCATGTCACTAAATAACGAACGGTATCATCACGCACCTCGCGCACCTCCGGGCGACGGGGACATCATTAGCTCCGGTCCCAATGACTCCCGTGAAGCTGAATGCCGGCGGAGGACTTCATTTGGCTTCTTGCGTGCGTGCGTGCGTGCGTGCGGGGGGGGGGGGGGGGGCTCGGAGGTCTTGAGCTGGTTGCATCCTTAACATCCGTCTATTCAGTTGCTTTCGTCATTGTTCACTCTTTCTCCGACTTTGTTATTCATTCTCTCTCCATCTCTGTCTATGACTCCTTTATTTGTTTTCTTCATATTCTCTCTTCATCTCTATGACGCCCTTTATTTGTTTTCCTCCTATTTTCTCTTCAACTCTATGACCCCATTTATCTGTTTTCCTCCTATTCTCTCTCCATCTCTGTCTATGACCCCTTTATTTGTTTTCTTCCTATTCTCTCTCCATCTCTATGACCCCTTTATTAGTTTTTCTCTATTCTCTCTCCATCTCTATGACCCCCTTTATCTGTTTTCCTCCTATTCTCTCTCCATCTCTATGACCCCCTTTATTTTTTTCTCTATTCTCTCTCCATCTCTATGACCCCTTTATTTGTTTTCTCTATTCTTCTCTCTATCTTATGACCCCTTTATTTGTTTTTCCTCCTCTCTCTCCATCTCTATGACCCCTATTTGTTTCTCTATTCTCTCTCCATCTCTATGACCCCCTTCTCTATTCTCTCTCCATCTCTATGACCCCTTTATTTGCTCTCTCCATCTCTATGACCCCCTTTATTTGTTTTCTCTATTCTCTCTCCATCTCTATGACCCCCTTTATGTGTTTTCTCTATTCTCTCTCCATCTCTATGACCCCCTTTATTTGTCTCTCTCCATCTCTATGACCCCCTTATTTTGTTTTCCTCCTCTCTCTCCATCTCTTATGACCCCCTTATTTGTTTTCTCTATTCTCTCTCCATCTCTATGACCCCCTTTATTTGTTTTCCTCCATTTCTCTCTCCATCTCTATGACCCCCTTTATTTGTTTTCCTATTCTCTTCCTCCCCTCCTCTATTCTCTCTCCATCTCTATCTCCATTTCTCTCTCCATCTCTATGACCCCCTTTATTTGTTTTCCTCCATTTCTCTCTCCATCTCTATAACCCCCTTTGTTTTCCTCCATTTCTCTCTCCATTTCTATGACCCCCTTTATTTGTTTTCTCTATTCTCTCTCCATCTCTATACTCCTTATTTGTTTTCTCTATTCTCTCCATCTCTATGACCCCCTTTATTGTGTTTTCCTCCATTTCTCTCTCCATCTCTATGACCCCCTTTATCTGTTTTCCTCCATTTCTCTCTCCATCTCTATGACCACCTTTATGTGTTTTCCTCCTGTAAAATACAAATTATTGAGACATTTCACCTGCGAGGGCAATCATTTCTTTTCGATCGAACAGCAAAAGGAGGAAGTTAGTCCACCTCGCAAAGCAGTGCTTGCTCCCTTATCGAAACACCGATTTTTATGCACTTCCTATCTGGCACAAAGAAAGAGAGAGGCAGAAAGAGGGGGAGAATGGAGGGAGACAGAGAGAACAAAAAAAGAAGAAAAGAAAGACAGAATCAGAGGTAAAGACAGAGAGGAAGAAAGGTAGAGAGACTGAAAAGGACATATCAGATAGACAGACAGACAGCACATATGCAAAAAGAGAAAGAGAGAGAAGAGAGGATGCACCCTCACCCACACCCACGTAGAATATTAACAACCCCACACAAGCACACACGCGCGCGCGCATCGCTGCATAAACAAGCCATCACATCTCCAGCGAAGGCACTGCAGGCCGAGACTACACGACCGCCCAAAGCACGGCGTGGAATCAAACGTAAGCAAACAATAGGCAAGTCAAAGCTCATCAAGCACAATGGCTTTGCTACCTAGGGCGGTAATAGAGCAGCTGCGGCGAGGCAGTGCGGGCGGGGCGGCAATCAGGTCAAGCAATGAGGCGCCGTGGTTTGCGCTGGCTCTCTGCTGCTTATTTAATGGGATTGGGGAATGGGGAGAAGAAGAAGAAGGGGTGGAGAAGAAAGGAAAGAAAAGAGGAAGGAAGGAGGGGGGGGAGAGAGGGAGGAAGAGGAGAGTTAAAGAGGAAGAGAGAGAGAGAAATGAAGCAGACAAGCAGACAGACAGTCAAGCAAACAAACAGATATAAACGGATACACAGACAAACAGACAGACAAAAAACAGCAGACAGACACGCACACACACACACACACACACGGACAGACAGAGGAAGGCAGAAAGAGAGAGAGAGAAATTCCCAGACCGAGACCGAGGGGAAAAAGCGAGAGGGGAAAAGAAGAGGCGAAAATCCCGCGACCATTGAAGAGCGAGAAAAAGCGAGGGCCGCGGTGACAAGAGGCGTCGGCGGCGATGATAGCGATAAGGAGGAGCGGGATGGTGATAAGACGGGTGGAGTGGGGGTGGGGGATGGAGGGGTATCATGATAGTGAATGGCAGGAGCGATAGGGCTCGGGGCGGCGAGGGAGGCTGCGGTTGTGCCTGCTTGAACCACCCACCATGCCGCCATGATGAACAAACCAGTACACACGCTCTCGGGCCCAACCAAAACCAAAAACACGTGACGTCACAGGGGGGGGGGGGGGGGGGGTCCTTGAGGCGGACTGGAGAGAGAGAGAGAAGGGAGGGGGGGGAGGGGGAGAAAGAATGAGAAGGAGAAAGAGGAGGAGGAAGAAGACGAGGGGGAAAGGAAGGAGGAGAAGAAGAGGGGAGAGGGAGAAAGTGGGGAAGGGAGGAGAAAGAAGAGGAAGAAGTAGAGGGGGAGGGGGGAGAAGGAGAAAAAAAGGAGGAGAGGATAAAGACGAAGAGGAGGAGAAGGACGAGGAGGGGGAGGAGAAGAAGGAGGAAGAGGAGGATAAAGACGAAGAGAAGGAGGGGAAGGAAAGGGGAGGAGAAGAGGAGGATAAAAAAGGAAGAGGAGGATAAAAAAGAAGAGGAGGACGAGGAGGAAGAGATGAAAAGGGGAAGATGGAGGAGCAGAGGCGGCGTGCCCTGCGAGAGGCACTCGGGGGCCAGCGAGGGAGGGCCGCCGCCTCGTCTCGGACACCGCCGTTAGTTTCGTCTGATCATTTTCCTTATTATTCTTGCACTTGTCTTTTTGTTTTTGATGTTTTACACACACACACACACACACACACACACACACACACACACACACACACACACACACACACACACACACACACACACACACACACTCTTACTCGTCTTCTTCCTCCCACCTCTGCCTCCTCCTCCCTCCCCTTCTCCTCATTTACCATTGCCTTTGCCATCAACACCACCAATATCACCACCTCCACGTCCACCTCCACCTCCGCCTGGACCACCTGCTCCACCTCCACCTCCGCCTGGACCACCTGCTCCCCCCACCTCCGCCTGGACCCACCTGCTCCACATCCACCTCCTCCTGGACCACCTGCTCCGCCTCCACCTCCGCCTGGACCACCTGCTCCTCCTCCACCAAGCCTGGACCACCTGCTCCACCTCCACCTCCGCCTGGACCACCTGCTCCTCCTCCACCAACGCCTGGACCACCTGCTCCACCTCCAACTCCACCTCCGCCTGGACCACCTGCTCCTCCTCCACCAACGCCTGGACCACCTGCTCCACCTCCACCTCCGCCTGGACCACCTGCTCCACATCCACCTCCACCTGGACCACCTGCTCCACCTCCACTTTCTGCTGGACCACCTGCTCCGCCTCCACCTCCGCCTGACCACCTGCTCCACCTCGCCTGGACCACCTCTCCACCTCCACCCCCTGGACCACTTGCTCCACCTCCACCTCCGCCTGGACCACCTGCTCTCCCCCACCTCTGCCTGAACCACCTGCTCCACCTCCGCCTGGACCACCTGTCTCCACCACCACCTGCTCCACTCCACCTAAGCCTCTGGCTTCCACCTCCTCCGCCTCCACCTCCGATGGACACCTGCCTGCCTGACCACCTGCTCCACCTCCGCCTGGACCACATGCTCCCTCCACCTCCGATGGACCACCTGCTCCGCCTCCACCTCCTGGTCCACCTGCTCCGCCTCCACCTCCTCCACCTGGACCACCTTGCTCCGCCTCCACCTCCGATGGACCACCTGCTCCGCCTCCACCTCCGATGGACCACCTGCTCCGCCTGGCTCCGCCTGGACCACCTGCTCCACCTCCGCCTCCACCTCCGATAGACCACCTGCTCCGCCTTCCACCTCCGATGGACCACCTGCTCCACATCCACCTCCTCCGCCTGAACCAACCTCCCACCTGCTCCGCCTCCACCTCCGATGGACCACCTGCTCCGCCCACCTGCTCCGCCTCCACCTCCTCCGCCTCTGCACTACCTCCGCCTGGACCACCTGTCCACCTCCGTCTGGACCACCTGCTCCACCTCCCCCTGGACCACCTGTTCCACCTCCACGTCGGCCTGGACCACCTGCTCCACCTCCGCCTGGACCACATGCTCCACCTCAACCTCCGATAGACCACCTGCCCCGCCTCCACCTCCAATGGACCACCTGTTCCACATCCACCCAAGCCTGGACCACCTGCTCCGCCTCCACCTCCTCCTAGTCCACCTGCTCCGCCTCCACTTCCGATGGACCACCTGCTCCACCTCCGCCTGAACCACCTGCTCCGCCTGGACCACCTGCTCCACCTCTGCCTGGACCACCTGTTCCACCTCCACCTCCGATAAACCACCTGCTCCGCCTCCACCTCCGATGGACCACCTGCTACACATCCACCTCCTCCGCCTGGACCACCTGCTCCGCCTCCACCTCCGATGGACCACCTGCTCCGCCTCCACCTCCTCCTGGTCCACCTGCTCCGCCTCCACCTCCGCCTGGACCACCTGCTCCACCTCCGCCTGGACCACCTGCTCCACCTCCGCCTGGACCACCTGCTCACCTCCGCCTGGACCACCTGCTCCACCTCCGCCTGGACCACCTGCTCCACCTCCGCCTAAATCACCTACTCCACCTCCACGTCGGCCTGGCCCACCTGTTCCACCTCCACGTCGGCCTGGACCACCTGCTCCACCCTCACCCACCTCCGCCTCGACCACCTGCTCCAACCCACCTCCGCCTGGACCACCTCCACCACCGCCTCGACCACCTGCTCCGCCTCCGCCTGGACCACCTGCTCCCTCCGCCTGAACCACCTGCTCCACCCCACCTCCGCCTGGACCACCTGCCCACCCCCCACCTCCTAGACCACCTGCTCCGCCTGGACCACCTGCTCCGCCTACATCTCCGCCTGGACCACCTGCTCCACCTCCACCTCCGATGGACCACCGCTCCACCCGCCTCCACCTCTCCACCTCGCCTGGACCACCTGCCCCCCCACCTCCGCCTGGACCACCTGCTCCACCCCTCACCTCCGTCTACCACCTGCTCCGCCTGGACCACCTGCTCCGCTCCACCTCCGATGGACCACCTGCTCCACCTCCGCTGGACCACCTTCTCCACCTCCGCCTGGACCACCACCACCACCTGCTCCCTGGACCACCTGCTCCACCTCCGCCTGGACCACCTGCCCCGCCCCCAGCTGCCCTCCCACCATTACCATACGCCTTCCCCAGACGGCCATTAACAGCGGCCCTCGAGGTAATGACCCGGGGGCAGGTGCCGAAATTTTGGAAGGGGACCTATTTTTCAGGTTTATTTGCATGCCGCGTCAGGGGGTGATGACGCCCTCCGCCTTCGCCTCCGCCCCCGGCCCCTGAGCGCTCGAAATCGCTCCCTCACTCACGCACGGCGTCGCTCACTCATTCCTCGGCTTATTTAGCACGTACTCATTCTGACTTGCTCGCTTATCCATCCCTTTCCTCATTACTCACTCGCACTCACTCGATGAGTCATTCGCTTACTCATTCACTATTCAACACTCATTCACTCATTGCTTCAACACTCACTCATTCCCCCCGACACACTCACACGCAGCGAACGTACTCCCTTGCTCATTCACCCTTTCCCTAACTCACCCATTCACTCCGTGCCACTTCCTCCCCCGTTACCAGGCGAACACGATGTCCTACAAAAGGGGCCATGTTTACAAAAAAAAAAAAAAAAAAAAAAAAAAAAAAAAAAAAAAAAAAAAAAAAAATCCGTTGCAAAGGTGATAACTCATATTTTCTCGTTCATTGCACTCTCTGCCTAAGGGTGGTTGGGACAGGGGGGAGGAGGAGGGAGGGAGGGGGGGGGGGCAGAGAGAATGGAAAGCCGCACACAACAGACTCAGGACTGCAGTCACGGGGCCTGAATGGGCGAGTCAGAAATCTGAAAGTCAAGTTTTCTCTCTCTCTCTCTCCTTTCCCCTC